CTTCCTTCCTTCCTTCCTTCCCTCCCTCCCTCCCCTCCCTCCTTCCCTCCCTCTTTCCCTCCCTCCTTCCTTTCCTCCTTTTCCTCCTTCCTTCCTTCCCTTCCTCCTTCCCTCCTTTCCTCCCTGGTCCTGGGGCTTGAACTCAGGGCCTGGGCACTGTTTCTCAGCTTTTTTTCTCAAGTCTAGCATTCTGCCACTTGAACCACAGTTCCACTTCTAGCTGATGGACTCTTCTGCCGGAGCTGGCTTTGAACTATGATCCTTAATCATAGGGCACTGGTGGCTCACACCTGTCATCCTAGCTACTCAGGAGGTTGAGATCTGAGGATCGTGGTTCAAAGCCAGCCCAGGCAAGAAAGTCCATGAGACTCTTATCTCCAATTAAGCACCAGAAAACCAGAATTGGCATTGTGGCTCAAGTGGTAGAGCACTTGCCTTGAGCTGAAGAGCTCAGGGACAATGCCCAGGCCCAGAGTTCAAACCCCATGACTGACAAAAAAAAAACACCTCTTAGTAGATGTTTAATTAGGGGTACCCCCTTTGACAAGAAAAAATGGGTTACTCTGTACAGTATTTTGACAATAAAAAAACGTAATAAAAAATAAAAAGAAAGAATGGGTTAGTTTGGAAAATTACAGGCTCAGGAACTACTTTGCATGAAGTACATGGGTAATGTTAAACTTTTTCTTTGCTTCTTTATTTGTCTGCTTTAAGACGGTATCACTGTGTAGCCCAGGCTGGCCTCAGACTTGAGGTTCTCCTGCTCACTCAGCCTCCTAAGTGCTAGACTTACAGGTGTGCATACCACATCCATCTGAAACGTGTGTGTGTGTGTGTGTGTGTGTGTGTGTGTGTGTGTACACATGTGCTATGACTGGAGTTTGAACTCAAGGCTGGTGCTCTACCATTTGAATCATAGCTCCACTTGCTTTGTGGTGGTTAATTAGAGGTAAGAGTCTTAAGAACTTTCCTGCCTGGGCTGGCTTCAAACTATCATCATAACATCTCAGCCTTCTGAGTACTTAGGATTAAAGATGTGAGCCACTGGCACCTGGCTCTGCAAAACAGCTCTGACACCTGGTTATTTATTTATTTATTTTTTTGGTCCGGTCGTGGGGCCTGAACTCTGGGCCTGGCCGCTGTCCCTCAGCTCTTCAGCTCAAGGCTAGCTCTCTACCACTTGAGCCACAGCGCCACTTCCGGTTTTCTGGGTGGTTTATTGGAGATAAGAGTCTCATGGACTTTCCTGCTTGGGCTGGCTTTGAACCGTGATCCTCAGATCTCAGCCTCCTGAATAGCTAGGATTACAGGCGTGAGCCACCGGTGCCTGGGTTGCAATGTGCCACTTCTAATAGGTACAGAGTTTGTCAGCAGCTTTCCTGGGCTGAGAGTGAGAACAGCTGTCTTTAGAATTACATTGCTCCTGAATTGAGGACTCTCAGTGGGCCTCTGTGGGCAGTCCCTTCGAGTTTGAACTCTGCAGCTTGGTGATCTTCTGTGTATCTTTCTGCCTGATCCAACTGGCATCTAGGTTATTCCAGCCTGTGCAGTATGGTCAGAAGCCTGAGGGTCGCACTGTGGCATTCCCCACACACACACCCCGGACAGCAACTGCCAACACCACTGCTGCTGCTCCACAGGGTCAGGTTCGAGGACGGCCACCAATTGCCACCTTTTCTGCCAACCCGGATGCAAAAGGTACCTCACCTAGCTATCACACTTGTTGTGAAAGGCTTGGGGAAGCACATGGCGCTGCATCCTTGCCGCCACTGCTGGGAGGGCGCAGGGACCATCATTGTCTCCAAAGGTTCCCTGTACACTTTCCCATGATAGTAGCTTTTATTTTCTAAAATTTATTTTTGGTATCTTGAGTTAGGATCTTGCCCAGGCCTTGAACTCTTAATTCTCCTGCCGCAGCCTCCTGAGTTAAGAATCACAGGCATGGACTAAGAATGTGGTTTAGTAGTAGTAGAATGCTCGCTTAGCATGCATGAAGCCCTGGGTTCAATTCCTCAGTATCACATAAACAGAAAAAGCTGGAAGTGGCACTGTGGCTCAGAGCACTAGCCTTGAGCACAAAGAGGCTCAGAGACAGTGCCAAAAGTCCCAGGACTGGTACCAAACAAAAAAAGTTACATGCATGTGAATCAAGTCTTCTAGGCATGCACCACCACAATCAGCTTGTAGGTGTTTTTGCTTGCTGCGTTGGGTTTTCCCTGTACAAGAAACTTCACTCTTTGTTGAGTGAGTGTTGATGGTGAGTGCCTTAGCAAATGATTTCTTTTTATGTATGTCAAGGCATATTAGGAAGCTCCTGAGAAAGTCTGTTCTTGTTATGTGTGGTGCGGTCTTTTCAAGTAACTGATGATAACTTTGAAGAAGGATAGGGTGAAGTACAGAAAAGGTTGCAAAGGCATTTTAACCACCACCCGCTCAAGTCCATTGCTTTTCGAGATAAACAAGTACTCACAACAGCAGTGGTGAGATTATGAAAAGGTGAGAGCAGATGCCTCCTTGTGTCTAGAGGGTTATTGTAATTGATAGAACTGTTGGACTGGGCTGGCTCCAAACCCTTCTCTCCCCTCTGAGAAGTGCACACTGCTTGTGCTGATCAGCTCACAGTGAACCTAACTCAGCAGCAGGTTGAACCTTGTTCCTCTTTTCTCAAGAACTGTGTAAGTCCCTCCATCTTTTTTTTTCCCCCAAGAGAGTGCTTCTCGTTTGAGAAACTGAAATGTTTATGTAATTTCTTTGAAAATCGAGTATAAAATACTGCATTTTATGAAGAACCTCTAACAGCTTTGCACAAACCAACCTTATCGATTGCAGTGGCAGCAGCCCCGTTTCAGACCTCTCAGGCTTCCGTCGGTGCGCCTCGACACCACCAGCCTGCCTCGACCTCCAGCACAGCAGCAGGCCCAGCCCATCCTGTGAAACTGCGGGCCCAGACCAATGCCCAGGCCTCCACCCCAGGCCCGCCCCCGCCCCCGCCCCAGGCCCCCTCGCTGGCTGCGGGTCCGAGCCCGCAGCCTCAGCGGCTGGTGCTCACCTCGCAGGCCCAGGCCCGCTTGCCCAGTAAGTGGCCTCACCAGTCAGCATCTGCTGTTGCTGCCTGGGGCAGCATGTCAGGAACATGGGATGTCTGAAGAGCTTTGCTGTCCACTACTTCTGTCTGCCCCTCAGCCCAGGCCTCAATGCTGCCTGGAGCCTGACACCTCCCCGAGGGTGGGGCCTCTCCAGAGGTCAGCGTCCAGTCCCTGCTCTTTTCTGCTCTTTCTCCTTACCCTTGCCAGCTCTGTTTTTCTCCTGCATTCCTTGTGCTGGACTGGTGTGCCAGGCTAGCACTTCAGCTTAGAGTCAGCCAAGGTTCTGCCCAGCAGCCTATAGCCCCACACTGAGGAGCTTATGGTGAAATTATATTAGTTGATATTAGGTTTCCAAATACCTTTTTTTTTTTTTCTGGCTTCTCAAGTGTTATCAAGTGTGGACATGGGAAGAATATTTGCTTAACAGCCATACTGTAACACTATACCAAGCTAAAATCTCACAGTGTTCTTTTTTTCAGTGGAGCACGTTTTAGTTTGGCCAGTAGGGTTAGCATGTTTTCAAAGCTCATATGGACCTTTATTCTCCTGTTGGGGAGATTATCCTATCTTAAAATATTGCAGGCTGTGTAGTTTTCAAATACTGCCTCATGTATGTTCTTTCTTAAGCGACAAAATTGTGTTAGGCCTTCCTGGAGAGAGAGTAGGGAGAAAAAGTAGAGAAGCAGCTCCTTTTTTCGTTGTGAGTAGCTCTTCATTGCATCAATAAAGAGCAGTTATTTTAGGCAGGCAGATGAGGGGAGGAAGCCCTTCCATGCTCCCGTTTCCATTGGCTGGAGATGAGGTTGTGTTGGTGTTTGGGGAGCTACGTATTAGAGGAGCATGAAGGGGGAATACCTTTTTATGTCAACTGGGCTTTACTTACCTACAGACCAAGGAGGTTAGGGGGAGATTTGAATTTCTGTATATAAATCTGTCTCCTACTTTCATTTCCCCATTTTCCTTTTCTTGCTCATAGTTATTCTGTAGGCAAGATATCTTTAGATATTTTCCAATTCTTTTATTAACTATTCTCTTCATGGTACCATTAATGATTCCAACATTTTACTAACTGTTCTTTTTATGCTACCATTAATGATTTCGGTGTGGGTTTTCTTGGGAGGAGCATTTGTACTTGGATGTCAGCCATTTGGTAAAAGCCTTTTAGCTGTGCAGGTTTGGCCTGATAGGAGGACTGTTTTGGAGACATAACGTTGAACTACGTTGTTTTAAAATGTTTAAACAGTGTAAAGTTTCACTTCTTTTTTCCAAAGTAAATGTTGTAGATTGAATCCTACAGTCTAGTTTGAATTAGGATGAAATTTTATATCTAAAAGCTTTACTTAGGTATGACTTATTTAAATATATGTCTAGATTTTTTTTAAACATTATGGGTGTAATTGAAGCTCACTGTTTATTCTTTTGATCTAGTGATAAAATCTTTTAACCTCTGTGAGCTTAGTTGAACACATGCTTTTTCAGATTTTGAGAGTCTTTTGAAGATTTGCAAGAACAGATTTCTAAATTTATTACAGATAGATTTCTGTTATTTTTGCTGTTTGCTGTTTTGGTTTTTTAAAATAATCATTCGAGGAGAAAAGTAAAATGTTTGCTAATAGTTTGACTGATGATATCAATATTGAATACCAGTAATTCCAACATTTTGTGATCAAATAGGTTAACCATTAAAATCTGTTATATTTGGCTTTTTTTCTAATATAACAATTATTTTCTTGAAGCAGTAAAGAACAATACCTAATTAGTATTTCTAGGACACTTCAGTTTCTGTAGGTGGCCATTATTTGTAAGACATACTTGTCATGTAAGAGTCCTAGTTTTAACTTTTTTCTCTGCCTTTCAACAGGTGGAGAAGTAGTGAAAATAGCTCAATTGGCATCCATCGCGGGACCACAGAGCCGTATTGCCCAGCCAGAGACACCAGTGACACTGCAATTCCAGGGGAACAAGTTCACCTTGTCACATAGTCAGCTTCGGCAGCTCACAGCAGGCCAGCCCCTACAGCTACAAGGTACTAATGCTGAGAATGACAAGCATGCCACTGTTGGCACATGCCTGAGGACCTGCCCTGCCTGGTGGAGTGACTCGGGCAAGTGAGCTGCCTCTTCAAGTGTCAGGTTCTTTACCTAGCAGTGGAGTTAACAAGTCTCACCGCATAAAGTTGTGGAGGATTGGTGTCAACTTGAGGCACCCTAATGATAGTCTTTTTTTTTTTTATTTTATGTGCCAATATTGGGGCTTGATTAATCAAGACTGGTGCTCTGCCACTACAGATGTACCTCCACTTCCGATGAGTATGTGTGTGTGTGTGTGTGTACACATGTGTACTAGTACTGGGGCTTGCACTTCGGGTCTGGGCACTGTCCCTAAGCTTCTTTGCTTAAAGCTAGTGCTCTACCATTTGGGTCACAGGTCCTCTTCCAGATTCTGGGTTTGTTTTTTGGGGGAGGGGGACAGGGAGAAGGAGGTAGTTGTGGGGCTTGAACTCAGTGCCAGGGTGCTGTTCCTGAGATATTTTGCTCAAGGCTAGCACTCTGCCACTTTGAGCCACAGTGCCACTTCGATTTTCTGGTGGTTACTTGGAGATAAGAGTCTCATAGACTTCCCTGCCCAGATTGGCTTTGTACCATGATCCTCAGGTCTCAGCCCCCTGAGTAAGTAGGATTACAGATGTGAGCTACCAGCTCCCAGTCACTTATAGATTTTTGGTAGTCAATTGGAGATAAAGTCTCATGAGCTGAGGGGCGCTGGTGGCTCATGCATGCAATCCTACCTACTTAGGAGACTTGAGATCTGAGGATCACGGTTTAAAGGCAGCCTGAGTAAAAAAGTCTATGAGACTCTTACCTACAATTAGCCACCTGTAAACCAGAAGGAGCTATGGCTCAAAGTGGTAGAGAGCTAGCCTTGAACACAAAAGCTCAGGGATAGCACTCAGGACCTGAGTTCAGGACCCACAACTGACAAAAAAATAAGTCTCATGGACTTCCCTGTTCCTGGGCTGACTTTGACTGCTACCCTCCAATCTCAGCCTTCTGAGTAGCTAGGATTACAGGCGTGAGCCACCAGCACGCACCACAGTTATTTTTATTAACAGCATCTGCTCTTTGAAAATAGTTCCCTATTTTATAAATCAAAATAGAAATACTTGCCAAGTACCAGTGGATCACAGTTCAAAGCCAGCCCAGAGAAGCAAGTTTATGAGAACCTTATTTTCAACTAATCACCAGAAACCTGGAAGTGGAGCTGTGGCTCAAGTGGTAGAGTGCTAGCCTTGAGCAAAAAAGCTCAGTGATGGTGCCCAGGTCCTGAGCTGAAGCACTAGGACTGGCAAAAAGAAAAAGCAATGTTTGCCTCTTTGTGATTATGAGATGAGTTGTTCAAGAAATGTCAAAGACTAGAGATTGGTGTGAGAGATGATTTTCTTTTACATATACACATTTTGTTTTTGTTTTTGTTTTTTTTTCTGAAATAGATTCTGGCTATGTTGCCTAGTAGCTGGGACCACAGGTGCATGCTGCCACACCTGACTAGACTATTTAGCTTAACCTTTGCCTAAGAGTAACATGCTTTCTAGTTACTACTTTCAAAGACAATGAGGGAATGAAAATTTGAGTGGCTCCCTAAAATCAGTGTTGAATCATTATGTGACAGCAGTTTTAGCCACTTTAGCTCTATGAGTGCCAGATGTGTCCTTAGCTCTCATTTTAAAGTTAAGATTTAGAAGTAGCATCCTCTGCAGTTGTTGCCAGCCCCTCCCTTTGCAGCTTTGCTGGGAGGTGTCGACCCGACCAACCACAGGGCAAAGGGTTTTTGCTGGTTTCATGTGGTTTGATTCCACATCTCTCCAGGGTTTAGGATGTCAGATGTTAGCTCATCTATGAACACCTTTGGTGGTCGTTTGTTTCCTTGGCACACTCTTGGGAAGCAACCCTCCAAAACAGCTGCAAACCTAGGGATACCTGGTTCAAACCCATTTTTCCTGGCAATTCTTCAAACCAGTTGAAACACAGCAGGCTCTCACATGGATCTGGGAACTGAGGCTCTCTTGTGAATCATATCCTTGGGATAGCCATGCAGCCCCCACAGACCTATACCGAGGTGTTTGTGTGAGGCATTATAAGGTGCATTGGCCTTTTTCCTGATGTTGAGCAAAGCAACTGTTCCTCAAACACTTCTTTACTGGGGATGAAATATTTCCATCTTCCTCAAAGTGAGCTTTGCATTGATCTGCTTATGTAAATATGAGTTGGGGTATTTAGTGTGTTTGTTTATTTCTGTAACATTTAGAAGTGATGGGTGTGTGCTGTAATGAGCACGTGCCTATAACTGACGCCTCTGGTGGACGTGTGATTGCAGGCAGCGTCCTCCAGATCGTGTCAGCCCCTGGGCAGCCCTACCTGAGAGCCCCCGGCCCCGTGGTGATGCAGACCGTGTCTCAGGCGGGTGCTATGCACAGCACCCTGGGAAGCAAGCCCCCAACTGCTGGCCCCAGCCCCGCACCCTTGACCCCACAAGGTAGGGTGTTCTGCTCAGGAGGAAGGCTTGGTGTTTAGCTGCTTTCTGACTCTTCTGAGCAATTGGGAGGTGTTGTGTATCTGACTGTAGGCCCTCTGCACATCCAAGCCATGCTGTGACTGTCGCTTCCTCAGATATCTTGTGGCATCAGCTTGGTTTATTCTCTTTCTCTTTTGCTTTCAAAGGTCCTTACATATAATCAGTCCCCACTGTTTCAGATTTTTTGTTTTGATCTTATTTTAACAAGAGACTTTGGGAACCATGAGTAATTCAGCTTGTTAATATGTGACCAACACACTTACTGAGCATACTTAAAGTTTTTTGGGAGTGGGCCATGGGCCCCTGTGCATGCAAAAGTCAAACTTTCTGGGTGGCCTAGCTTCCAGACCTGCTGGGCTTCTAGTTCATGCTTCACCCCTGTCAGCTTCCTCTTAAAGACCTTGGCTCTGCCTAGATGTGCTCTGTCCTGGACCTAGTGGTGGGTGGGTTAGACATGTGGACACCACAGGGAGTAATATCAAGTGGCTGATGGGTCTGCCCTCTTGGCCAGAAGCTACTGGTTTACTGGTCATCCTCTGTGTACTGGTTGTTCAGTGGCTTCTGCTTAGTTCCGCTTGCACCTCCAAGTCATCTCTGATGATGCTGCAGGGCCTCTATGGACCGGTAGCATTCTGCCAGGGTGGGCTAGATGAGGCCTCAAGGCTGGGAGGGTGGGACGAGCTGCTACGCGCTTCCATGCCTGCACGGTCACCCAGCACAGTTCTGATGGTAGCTGCAGGGTCTTACCCTCCCAGTTCTTCTCACCTCCTTGAGAATTTGGGCGTCATCTATCACACCTGCTACAGAGGTGGGCAAATTCCTGTCTAGGCAGCCCACCCCTGGGACTGGGTCCTGTGCGTGCTGCTGTCATGCTAACCTTCTCAGCTCTTCACTTTTGCATTTGTAGTTGGCGTTCCGAGTCGAGTGGCAGTGAGTGCCATGGCTGTAGGAGAACCCGGGCTGGCTTCTAAGCCAGCCTCTCCTGCTGCAGGGCCGACTCAGGTACGTGCCGGGCATGCGTTGGCAGCTTGTGAACTGCCAGTGTGGAGCAGGCCGCTTTCAGAAGCTGTTTGCTTGCATGCAGAGACCGTGAAGGCTGTTTGGGCTCATCTGATCAGGCAGTTCACACACATTTGTGCCCTCTGAATTGTAGTCCTGATTTTAACACATAGTCCAATGACAGAAGAAACTGGAATGAAACATTTTTTTAAAATTTCATTCCTTATGTTTTCTTGGGGATGAGAAGTCCGTCCTCTGTATCTTGAGGTGGAAGAGAAAGAAGTCTTCCTTTTCCTGCTTCCTTTCTGTCACTAGTTCCCATGGAACAAGGATTGTGTATATCAATATACACAGTAGATGCTATGCTAACGGATCCAGGGTGAAGAGATAATTTGTTGTGTTTTCTTCAGTAAGTAACTTTTTTAAATCATGTTTTTGGTAAAGGAGGAAAAGACCAGGCTATTGAAGGAGCGGCTGGATCAGATGCATTTTGTCAATGAACGACGCTGTTCCCAAACCCCGGTGTATGGCAGAGACTTGCTGAGGATTTGTTCTCTACCTGGCAGAGGAAAGAGGCCTTGGCCAGGTTCTTTTGACAGCAGTTTTGGGAATGGGGTTGGGTCAACGAGCTGTTACCTATTACCCTCAAAAAGTAAAGGTGATCTGATATTAACATTGAATCAGCGCAAAGAATCGCTCCAGGATATTCTTGACAGGTGAGTTAGGCAACTTAGTGTTGTAACTTTTTGTGTATGTGTGTGTTTCTTCACTATGCTATACCCATTTTCTTTGTACTTTTTCCAGTGTTCTTATTTTGATATACATCTCCCCATGTTATCTCTTAGGAATTTGTTCAAAGTTGCTTTTCAGGGTCTCTGGCTTGGGACCAGAGGGTCATGTTACTGGGTCTCTCCATCAAATCCTTTCAGAAAAACATTCTTTGAAGTTGATTTCGTGCACTGGTGAATGTTGAATTCAGAACAGGCAGTAGTGGAGCAGGGCCATATGGGCTGGAGCTGCAGCCAGGCTGTCTGTGCTGTTCCTGCTGGGCTTGGATCTTTATCTCTTTTCCAAGTGCAGTCCCCTGAGTGTTTGGCCCTGATGTCTCAGGTCAACTTCAGAGCTTGAATGATGAGCCATGGTCTAGAGAGTGTCCAACGCAGGTTATTTGGGCTGGGCTATCTGAGGTGGTCCCTGGTTGCCATAATTGGCCAGGACTTGCCAGGCCTGCCCCCGTGCTGTGAAGGATGATGCCAGCCCATGATGACCGTCAGGTGCTCTTGTTGCTTCTCTTCCACTCATACTGCCAAAGGTTCTGGTGCCATGTGGTGACCACATGTGCTTTCTGCTCCTCAGGGTGGCCTGTGTGATTCCTCCTGTGGTGGCTGCACCCCCTTCCTTGTGGGTGGCCAGGCCACCCTCACTGTACAGTTGTGGGCTCCGGGCCCTGAGGCAGCGCCTGAGGGAGCATGCTGCCCCCTATCTCCGGCAGCTTCAGCAGCTGACTGCACTGCGTTCTCTACAGTTCCCTGAGCTGAGACTGGTGCAGTTTGACTCAGGTATGACAGACTGTTTCAGCTTAGTTCATGGCATGAGGTTGTGCTTGCTTTGTACTATGAGATTTTTTTCTTTTTTAATTTTCAGCAGGGGTTTATTTCAGTATATCAGGATAAAGTAGGGAGAAATGGGGAATTGGGGAGGAACATTTCCTGCTTCCCACACTGGAAATGGAAGTGAAGGACTCATGTGAGTTGCTCTTGATGTTTCATTTCCTAGGAAAGTTAGAAGCTTTAGCAGTCCTGCTTCAGAAGCTGAAATCTGAAGGGCGCCGGGTGCTGATTTTATCACAGATGGTTCTTATGTTAGACATTTTAGAAATGTTCTTGAACTTCCATTATCTCACCTATATAAGAATTGATGAAAATGCCAACAGTGAACAGCGGCAGGTAAGACATAACTTGCTCATTATATGACTTGTTTAGATGTATAACCCTTAGTTACTATTTTCCAGCCTCATTTCCCACTGTAGTATAAGCTTAATGGTACCCTGGCTCTTCTTGGCAGAGAGATAGCACTTCCAAGATGGTTAGTCAGTCCCTTCCCTCCACAGGTATCTAGTTACATGCTAGGTGTCTCAGTTAGGACAGGCATCAATGACAGGTAGGTACTGTAGGACAATGTCCTTCAGGAAGTAACTGGAAGGATCAAGGCACGGATATGGGTACTGTTTAGACTAAAGTATAAAGAAACACAAGTTGAGATAATGTGCCTGGCTTTTGCTCCGTTAGGCCCAGTAATAGGTCTTCTTCGGCAGTGCTGGTAGAAGCATGCTTTAGCAGAACTTTCTGTTTGTTCTGTGGATTTTAATTCGGGTCCTCACGTTTGCTGGAATTGTGTCAGTATAACTTTCTAGAAAGCCAGTGTGGGAGCTGGGAAAGTAGCTTAGTGGTAGAGTGCTTGTGTAAAATGCATGAAGCCATAGGTTCAATTCCTCAGTAGCATATATATATAGAAAAAGCCAGAAGTGGTACTGTGGCTCAAATGGTTGATTTGCTAGCCTCGAGCAAAAGAAGCTCAGGGACAGTGTCCAGGCCTGAGTTCAAGCCCTAGTACTGGCACACACACACACAAAAAAAGTGGGCTGGGAATATGGCCTAGTAGTAGAGTGCTTGCCTAGCATGCGTGAAGACCTGGGTTCAATTTCTCAATACCACATATACAGAAAAGGTTGTCAGTGGTTCTGTGGCTCTAGTGGTAGAGTGCTGGCCTTGAGCAAAAAGAAGCTCAAAGCCTGGTGCTGGTGGCTCATACCTGTAATCCTAGCTACTCAGGAGGCTGAGATCTGAGGATCATGGTTCAAAGCCAGCCCAAGTAGGAAAGTCCATGAGACTCTTATCTCCAATAAACCACCCAGAAAACCGGAAATGGCCCCGTGGCTCAAGCTGTAGAGCGCTCGCCTTGAGCTGAAGAGCTGAGGGACAGCACCCAGGCCCAGAGTTCAAGCCCTATGACCGACAAAAAAAAAAAAGCCAATGTGACACTGTGGACCTCAAAGGTAGATAGCGGCTGAATCAAGTAAACTCATATTCAGGTAGCAATACACAGCAATAGCAACACACCAAGTAAAAATTTGTATACATAGTTGTTCCCTGTAGAAAGTTCATGAAGCCACAATCAAGAACAGAGTGAATGTCCAGTAACAGGAGTGCAAAAAGCTCTGTGTTCATAAGACTTGGCAGTGTTGTCAGTAGAAACTGTCCTTTGAAGCTGCATAGGGCAGACTACGAAACCCTTGTCCATAGCATTTCAGGACAAGCTTGAATGCATGGCAAAGAGGTCCCAAGTACAGAAGGCAGGGTGCTTGCCGGAGCTCTTACTGCCCACAGCAGTCTCCGCCCTCCCCCAAAGGCCTAGAAAGAAAAACACCAGATTTATTACACCAATTTCTTGTAAGAGTGTAGCAATTTAGGATTTCTTCAAGGAAGAGAGTTGTTCAGTTTAGGTTTTGTTTTGGCATGGAATTGATTTATATTTGAGAAGTTTCACATTGTCATTTTAGTGCTTGGTTCATACTATGAGGTTAGAGGTATATCTCGCCAAGTCCTCATCCTTACTCCAGGGGCTTTTTGCCTGTAGAGTGCCCTGGCATTGCCTGAGGATAGAGGAGAAAGCACATCTCCCTCCCCAGCAAGATTCTGCTTTCTTGTGGGGCCTACAGATTGAGCTAACAAGAAGTACAAGGCAGAGCACAAGGGGCTGGAAATGTGGCTTAGTGGTAAAGTGCTTGCCTAGCACACATGAAGGTTTGCTTCCTTAATACCACATAAACAAAAAGTCAGAAGTGGTGCTGTGGCTCAAGTGGTAGAGTGTTGGCCTTGAGCAAAAGAGTCTCAGGGACAGTGCCCAGGCCCTGAATTCAAGCCCTGGGACTGGGGTGGGGTGGCGGGAAGGGGGAGACAGAGCATCACATCTCTTTCATAGCTGATTAATGTCTATGCTGCTTGTACAGTGCGCATGTGTGTGGTCAATATGGAAGGTGACCACAGGTGCAGAAGAACCAGAATAAGATGTACAGACCATGTGTCACATGGAACACAAACCAATTTGTAACAAAGTAACTTTTCAAATTGGGGGATGTTAGAAAGCTTCTTAAGTCTCACAGTGTTTTCTAGGAATACTAACACCTGAACATTTTGTTTCCTCTCAGGAGCTGATGAGGAGTTTCAACAGAGACAGGAGGATTTTCTGTGCCCTTTTTTCTACCCATAGCCGTGCCACTGGCATAAACCTTGTTGAAGCCGACACTGTTGTCTTTTATGACAATGACCTAAATCCAGTGATGGATGCCAAGGCTCAGGAGTGGTGTGATCGAATGGGGAGGTGTAAGGATATCCACATATACAGGTGACTACCATTGAGGACAGTGTGGTTGAAATGCTCATCATGAGAACCTTTGAGGGAGGAATATAGAAAGCACTACCAAGGCAGCTCAGGCTTGTAATCCTAGCTACTCAGAAAGCTGAGGACTGAGCACTGAAGTTTAAAGCCAGTCTGAGTGAGAAAGTCTATAAGACTCTTTTGTTGTTATTGTTGGTCATGGGGCTTGAACTCTGGTCCTGAGTGCTATCTCTGAGCTCTTTTGCTCAAGACTAGTACTCCACCACTTTGAGCTACAGAACCACTTCTTGTTTTCTGGTAGTTAGTTGGAGATAAGAGTCTCATGGTCCGGCTTGGACTGTCTTTGAATTGTGATCTCAGCCTCCTGAGTAGCTAGGATTACAGGCATGAGCCGCCAGTGGCCCCAGCCATAAGACTCTTATCTCCAGTTAACCACTAGAAAAGCCAAAAGTGGATCTGTGACCCAAATAGCAGAGTGCTGGCCTTAAGCAAGCTCAGTGACATCGCCAAGGGCCTCAGTTCAAGCACCAGAACTTGTACTGCAAAAAATATATATATTGTAGGCTGGGAATGTGGTTTAGTGATAGAGTGCTTGCCAAGCATGCATGAAGCCCTGGGTTCAATTCCTCAATACCACATAAATACAAAAGGCCAGAGGTGGCATTGTGGCTCAAGTAGTAGAGTGCTAGCCTTGAACAAAAGAAGCACAAGGACAGTTCCCAGGCCCAGAGTTCAAGCCCCAGGACTGGCCAAAAAATAAATAAAAATACACACGCGCGCGCGGGCGCAGGCACACACACACACGTTATGTAAAGGCACTAATGAAGCCAAGCGTCAGTAGTTCAGGCTTGTAACTACTACTCAAGAAGCTGAGATCTGAGGACTGTGGTTTGAAGCAGAAAAGTCTGTGAGACTCTTAACTGCTAACCACAGAAAAAGCCAGAAGTGAAGCTGTGACTCAAATGGTAGAGTACCAGCCTTCAGTAAAATAAGTTCAGGGACATTCCCTAGGCCCTGAGTGCCAGCCCCAGGTCTAGCAAAAGAAAAGTCACTAATGAAGAAATAAAAGAACCAAAGATGATATTCCATAATTTAATTTTACAAGTTTCTATGTTTGGTTTGTTTTTCCTTCAGACACATTTGTATGCCTGCTGTTTTATCTGTTTATACTTGACATTTGCTTAAAGTTGTAATTTAATTGGGCAGTTCAGGGCCTCTTAGCTTGCTGGCTTTCAGTGTTTACATGTTATAGTTGTTTGTTTGAACGGTTATGAAATATAAAAGATCTCCTGAAAGAATTTAGATCTGTATTTTTACCTTCAAGCATAAAAATTGTACCTGGAGGGCTGGGAAGGTGGCTCAGTGGTAGAGGTCTTGCCTTGCATGCATGAGGCCCTGGGTTCGATTCCTCAGCACCACATAAGCAAAAAGCCGGAAGTGGTGCTGTGGCTCAAGTGGTAGAGTGCTAGCCTTGAGCTGAAGAGCTGAGGGACAGCGCCCAGGCCCAGAGTTCAGGCCCCACGACCGGACCCAAAAAAAAACAAAACAAAAAAACCCAGAAGTAGCACTGTGGCTCAAGTGGTAGAGTGCTACCCTTGTGTACAAAGAAGCTCAGGGACAGTGCCCAAGCCTTGAGTTCAAGCCCCATAACCAACAACAACAAAAAGTGGAGAGAAAGTGAACTTAGGAATTTGGTTAGTCAACCCCAGGTGGCAAAATGAACATGAAATAGAACCATGTCACTGATAAGCAGAGAGATACAAGTTTAACGTATGATGAAATGTCTATAGACACAGTAGGCAGATAGCCAGCAGCATGGAATAGGGAAGTGTTTATGGGACACGGGCAAAGTTTGCTGCAATTAAAATATTGTATCTTTTGTCCCATCATAACCTGTGGTGTCGGGATGGACTTTCATTATTCACATGGCACAAAGCAGGAACTATGTAGTGCCTGTGACAGGTAGATAGGCTCCCCCTCCTTCCTGGAGGAAGGGGTCAGAGAAGCAGGCAAAATGCAAGTATGTCTATTAAAAAAGTTACCCAAGGCTGGGAAGGTGGCTCAGTGGTAGAGTGCTTGCCTTACATACATGAGGCCCTGGGTTCGATTCCTCAGCACTGCATAAGCAAAAAAAGCCGGAAGTGGCACTGGCTCAAGAAGAGCTGAGGGACAGCGCCCAGACCCAGAGTTCAAACCCCATGACTGACCAAAAATAAATAAATAAATAAATAAATAAAGTTACCCTTTTGTTCTTTACCTGATTGTAACTGTTGCCCTCTGTACATCACCTTTATAATAGTTAAAAAAAATAGTTTCAGGGGCTGGGAAGTTGGCTCAGTGGTAGAGCGCTTGCCTTGCATGCCTGAGGCCCTGGGTTCGATTCCTCAGCACCACATAAGCAAAAAGCCGGAAGTGGTGCTGTGGCTCAAGTGGTAGAGCTCTCGCCTTGAGCTGAAGAGCTGAGGGACAGCGCCCAGACCCAGAGTTCAGGCCCCACGACCGGACCCCAAAAAAAAAATAGTTTCAAAAAAGTTGGATACCTTTGGGCTGGGATGTAGCTGAAATGGTAAAGAACCTACCCAGCAGGTGTGAGACCCAAGTATTGCCCCTCCTCCAAAAAAAAAGTTATTCACTTGGTGCACGGCATCACAGAGATAGAAGGTGACACTGTCTTACTGTGCGTATGTGTGTGTGCAAACTGTGTCAATGAAAACATCTCATTTTAATGTTATTTCAGAGTAACCAGGGATTGAGCTGTGTTCTCTTCTTCCTCCTTGCATTATATAATCAAGTCATTTGCAGTAAGCATGAGTTAATAGGATCGAGGCTGAGTACAGTTTCATTCTCCCCAGCATCTGATTGTCACTCTACTCCATGCTTCTTGATTGTCTTTTGCTATCTATTTCAGGACTTTTCTGGAAAAATCCCATTTCTTAATATCCTTGTGAAAATCTTGTTTGTTGGAACTTCTCTGGGTTTTAGCATTTAGCATTAAAACAAGCATTCTGAGGGAAGTAATAGGATGGGTCTGCTTGCCCCTGTAGGACTGCTGTTCATTTTCTGTTACATGAGTGAAATTCCTATGGATTCCTGGGATCAGCAGATAAAAAAATGTCCAGCTTACATGCGAATGAAAGCTCTCTTGGGAGTGTCTCAACAAGCAGCAATTAGGGAGTTATTCATCTTCACTGTGAGGATCAGGGAAATTTTGGAAGAAGACAGATGCTCGTGGTGTCTGGAAGGACTAAATGGAACATTTCCAAGTTGGGATTGCCAAGAGAAGACTATGCCAGGCAGAGGATGCCATGTGGACAGTGTGGGCACTTAGAGGGGCCAGCTTACTCTCCAGGCTGTTCGAGGGCCAAGATTGGAGTGTTTGCAGCCTAGCAGGTGCTCACAAAGACTGTGGGCAGATGCTGGTTCTCTAGATGACATCCAGATATCTAGAAGAATTGTGTTTCCTGATGATTTAATTGTCGCTCTGTGTGTGTGTGTGTGTGTATTTTGTTACAGGCTTGTAAGTGGCAATTCTATTGAAGAGAAATTGTTGAAAAATGGAACTAAAGATTTGATTCGAGAAGTGGCTGCTCAGGGAAATGATTACTCAATGGCATTCTTAACTCAGGTATTTTGTTGTTTGTTCTTTCAGTTCCTAGACCAGGACTCAAACTTGGTACCTGACACTTTCACTCATTGGCTAGTGCTCTACCAACTGAGTCACTCCTACAACAACCCCTGTTTGTTAAGAATTGTTTGGATTGGGTGCTGATGGCTCACACATAAATTGTAGTTACTTAGGGGCTGATATCTAATAATCATAGTTTGAATCCAGCCTAGGCAGGAAAGTCCATGTGCCTCTTTATTTCCAAATACTAACAAACCAAATATGGAGCTATGACTCAAGTGTGGTATAATGCCAGCCTTGAAAAAGCTAAGGGATTGCAATAGCATCTAGGTCCTGAGTTTAAGCCCAGTATTGAGAGCACCAGAAAAAAAAAAACAAAAAACTGGGCATGTTGGCTCAGACCTATAATTTCAGCACTTGTGAGACCAAGGCGGGAGGATAAGTTCAAGGCTGGCCTTGGCTACACAGTGAGACCTTGTCTCATACCTCCCTCAATTTGTGTGTGTATGTGTGTCAGTATTGGGGTTTGAACACAGGGCTCTGTGCTTGCTAGACAGGTACTACTGCTTGAGCCATGCCTCCAAGAGAACTTTTTTTTTAAACAGACACTTATGAGAAACGATTGAGCATTTTAAGTTACCTAAGTCTCAGGCTTAGGTATAAGATTACATTTTTAGTTCTGGTAAGTTGGCTCAGTGGTAGAGCGCTTGCCTTGCATGCCTGAGGCCCTGGGTTCGATTCCTCAGCACCACTTAAGCAAAAAGAAAAAAGCCGGAAGTGGTGCTATGGCTCAAGTGGTAGAGCGCTAGCCTTGAGCTGAAGAGCTGAGGGACAGCGCTCAGGCCCAGAGTTCAAGCCCCACGACCGGACCCCCGCCCCCCCCCAAAAAAAAAGTTTACCTTTTTAGCTGGGCACTAGTGGCTCACACCTGTCATCCTAGCTACTTGGTAGGCTGAGATCTGAGGATCAAAGTTTGAAGCCGGCCCTGGCAGGAAAGTCTGTGAGACTCTTATCTTAATTGTCTACCAGAAAACCAGAAGTGGAGCTATGGCTCAAATGGTAGAACACTAGCCTTGAGCAAAAGAGTTCAGGGACAGCACCTAGGCCCTGAGTTCAAGCCCCATGACCAAACAAAAAAACAAAAAAAGATTGCATCTTTGTTTCTGGGGAGTAGTGTGCTTGTTTGTTGATTTTTATTTTTAACGTTCAGCGAACTATTCAGGAGCTGTTTGAGGTTTATTCTCCCATGGATGATGCTGGCTTTCCAGTGAGAGCTGAGGAGTTTGTAGTGCTTTCTCAGGAGCCCTCTGTGAGCGAAACCATTGCACCCAAGATCGCAAGGCCTTTCATAGAGGTAAGAGTGAAGGCTCTTTTGATGAGGAACATGTTATTTGGGTCCTGATCCCACATGCTTCCTCACAGTGGCTGTGTCTTTTACTTGACAGGACTCTTGAGTATTTAGTCTGACTCTTTGCTGACCTATAACCTCAACTCATAGCCTCCCTCCCTTCCAGCTGTAAAGAGGGGTGAAGGAGCCAGGTACCAGTGGCTCAGACCCATAACCCTAGCTACTCAAGGCAGAGATGTGAGAACTGTGGTTTGAAGCCAGCCCTGGCAGGGAGGTCTGTGGAACATTACCAATTAACCACATTTCATATGTGCTTTTTAAGCCCTTCTTGTTTGCCCCTTGCTACAGTCAGCTGTCTGGGCCTCCCTTTCTCTGACTAAAACAGCCACTGACTCCATGTGGCCACTGAGCACTAGAACTATAGCTAACTTGCATGACAGTGTTCTGAGTGTAGAATACACAGACTTTGAAGACTTAGAGAGAATGCTGTGTGTTTCATTAGCATTTTTTGTCTTAGGGATAAACTAAAGTGATAATATTTTGGGTATTGGGTTACATGAATTACTGTTTTAGCTCTGGAAGAATTGAGGTGTGTACCTAGGTCCCATGGTGGCCTCAGGATGACTGCCTTGTATGTAGAGGTGCGTTGCAAGTGTTTACCAAGGTCTCTTACCTCCCATCTCTGGCTTTGGTAGAGGCCCTTCTCACTACAGATCTGGGCCTCACATTTTTCTCACTTTCTGAATCCCTTCTTGCTACCATAGCCCATATTAAGGGAGGGGCTATAGCTCTTATTTCTAGAGATTCTTTCCTTTGTTACCATGGAAGGATCTGGTCTCTGCCTCTCTTATCCTGTCTGGCTTCAGGTATGGCCACTGACTACATTGCTTGTTTCTTCTGAAAATAAGAGCTGTGTGCCCTGCTCCTTGTTTTCAGCTTATTCTTTCCAATATATTGGTGTTGACCAGCTGCTGCCTTTTCTGCTTTGGAAAATGAACTGTTCAGAAGGCCTCCCTACCCTCAGCCACTGCCACTTCCCTACTATCCTTCCATTCTATCTCCTTTTTTTTCCTTGAAACAGTTTTTCTGTAGCCCATGCTGGCGTGGAACTCACTGTGTAGCCCAGGCTGGCCTGGAACTTGTGACTTCAAGGTGTATATTGTCATGCCCAGATTTTCACTAGTGCCTTAATGTGACACAAATGTATACAAGGATCTCAGTGTAGAGGCTCATTACTGCTTACAGAGAAAGCATTGGCCTTAACCTTAATAACCCCTTCATTTAGAAAGTATATCTCAGTAGTCAATGCCAAATCTCCATAGGCCCTCAAGAGCATCGAATATCTGGAGGAAGACGTGCCGAGGTCTGCAGAGGAGGCTGTACCTGTACTGAGCACTGGTGTTATGTTCTCAGACTCAGAGGGCACTCAGTGTGACGAGGAACCGTCGCAGCTGGAGGAGCTAGCTGATTTTATGGAACAGGTTTGGAGCTATTTTCCCTTAAACTAATTATTTTAAAATGTGGACCTTTTTGTAAGATACTGTTTATTTACTATGAACATTTACTTTTTGAATTCAAATATTGTTGAAAGGATTTTGTAAATGACTTTATAGATCTTTAGTAACTTGCTATTTACCCTGTTCAAAATATTTTTCGAAATAGCTAACGCCAATTGAAAAATATGCTTTGAATTACTTGGAATTGTTCCATGCAACCATTGAACAAGAAAAAGAGAGAAATAGTGAGGTAAGAGAATCAGTTTTTAATCGCTTCAGTATGTAAAGAGTCTCAAGTTTTTCCTTGCTAAATTGGACTTGAAGTAGATGTAATTTTATTAAATTAAGAAATAAAGCCAAAACCTAGTGGTATGAGACTCACTTAGAAGGAGGTCTTGGAGTCTTTGCACAGGCAGTTGTGGTGTTCGGTGCATTGGTTCTATGTTGGAGGGAATAGAGTCTGTGTAGCAGAGAGACCTGTGAGACGTGCTCTTTGTGGCTCCACCTGTGCACAGAGGCTGTGCCTAGGGAGTTGGCAGCCCGCAGGAACCCAAACCCAATGGCTCTAATCTGGAAAGTGCCTTTCCTGGTGCTCTTTCTACCAGGACATGGTGATGACGTCAATGAGAGACTGGGAGTCTCGCAATGCCCAGAGCCTGCAGCAGAAGGAGGCCCAGCTGCAGCGTGAGCAGGAGGAGGCCGAGCTGCTCACCTATACGAGGGAGGATGCCTATAGCATGGTACAGCTTGTGTCTACCTGTCCCAGATGCTAGCTCTCATCTTGCTTGGCTTGTTCATTCATACTTACACCTAGCTCGTGTTCTGAAAGCAGTCTCTTTATAGCTTACTTGCTCTGTGAGATCTTCAGTTTGATGCTGGCCTTCTCAGTTACATTGCTAGTAGCAAGTAAAACCCATTTTATTTATTTATTTTTTATTATTTTTTTTTGTTGGTCGTGGGGCCTGAACTCTGGGCCTGGGCACTGTCCCTCAGCTCTTCAGCTCAAGGCTAGTGCTCTACCACTTGAGCCATAGCACCACTTTGGGCTTTTTCTGCTTCTGTGGTGCTGAGGAATCCAACCCAGGGCCTCATGCATGCAAGGCAAGCACTCTACCACTAAGCCATCGTCCCAGCCCAATAAAACCCATTTTAAAATCTCTGTCAATTGGGGTTTTGTACATAGAGAAGTTCCCTTACACAAGGATTTGCATAGAAACAGGAAAAAAAAATCTTAGTCATGCTGATCAAACTCACTTAGAAGAGTTAGTGTGAAAGTAAATAACTTGTGAGCTAGAACATGAGACCAAGACATTTTGAGTTTTAAGTTTGGCCATGTTTCCATAGGAATATGTCTATGAAGATGCTGATGGACAGACAGAAGTCATGCCGGTATGTAGCTCCTCTTCCTGTGTGCCTGAACTCCCAGCTTCATGCAGCTCTGCCACTCATGGGACTTTCTTTCTCTTCTCAGCTCTGGACCCCACCCACTCCTCCTCAGGATGACAATGACATCTACATTGACTCAGTTATGTGTCTCATGTATGAAACCACACCCATCCCAGAAGCTAAGCTGCCTCCCGTGTATGTAAGGAAGGAGCGCAAACGGCATAAAACAGACCCCTCAGGTGTGTTACTGCAGGTTTTTATTCATTTTACAAAAATGTAAATTTTTACTATAGAAGTGAAGTGCAAAGGGGTTATAGGTACATAAGTCAGGTAAAGAGGACATTTTTCCTTGGACAATGTCAGCCCTTCCCTTGCTCTCTTACTGCAGGTTTTTATGCCCCCACAAGTTGTGCTTGATGGAGGGTCCTAAGTTGCTGTGGTTCTTCCTCTTTGCTGAGTGAGGAAGAGGGAACCACACCCCTATCTGTTCCCCTCATACACCCTATTCATTTGTTGTGCTATTTCCAGTGAGGAGCCTTTCCTGGTTGTAGCTCTTGTTAATAGTAAACTTAACAAAGAAGCCAGGTGTGGTGACACATGCTTATAATCCCAGCATCTGGGAAGCTTAGCAGGGGGGATCCTGTGTTTCAGGCCGGCTGTCTCAGGAAAACAAGTAAAAAACTCAAGGAAAGAATTAGTAGGTGCTTCCACGACGTGAGCACCTCTTGGCTGCCCTCCTGTTTCCTCTTTTCTTCCCTGCTGGTGCAGGGTCTTACTTTTCTGAAGTCACCCCTGTTTAGCCACAGGGAGGAAGAAGAAGCAGCGGCATGGTGAGGCAGTTGTCCCACCACGATCCTTGTTCGATCGGGCAACCCCAGGCATGCTAAAAATCCGACGTGAAGGCAAAGAGCAGAAGAAGAACCTGCTGCTGAAGCAACAGACACCCTTCGCTAAACCTCTGCCTACCTATGTCAAGCCCTCTGGGGAGCCTGCCCAGGACAGCCCTGAGTGGCTCATTGGCGAGGACTGGGCCCTGCTGCAGGTGAGCAGCACTCATACCTTGTCTGGGAGCACCCAAGTGCTTGTGCACACGTGCTAGTGTGCTCGCCTTGTGAGGGGTCTTGACAGGGAAGAAAGACCTTCTAGTGTGTGGCTTCTTAACCTGTTGGATCTGAAACCTTGTCCTACAGGCTGTAAAGCAGCTACTTGAGCTGCCCTTGAACCTCACAATTGTGTCACCTGCCCACACACCTAACTGGGACCTTGTCAGTGACGTTGTCAACTCCTGCAGCCGAATCTACCGTTCTTCCAAGCAGTGCCGCAACCGTTATGAGAATGTCATCATTCCCAGAGAGGAAGGGAAGGTGAGCCTAGCCTCCTAGGTTTTCCTGGGAGGATGAAGGCCTGCACAGTGCCCACAGCCTGTGATGCTGGCTGGTGCCCTGCTGTGCATTGCCTTGGTAGCTCCTTTGTCCCTGAGGGGATCAGCACCCTCCTGCAGCAAGTTTCATGTCTGCACTGAACCTGGCATGCAGCACAGGCAGCCGTGGAGAGATTGATGTTACACGTGTTAGGATCATGGTAGATTATTAGCAGCAGACTCAACCTGATACCAACAGCTGTGCTGCTACTGCCACTTGGAAAACTGTGTCATCTAAATTGTAGCTTTTTTTTTTTTTCTTTTGGGGTTTTATTTTTGACAATATGGGGGATTGCTCTCAGTGTCTCAAGCATGCTAGGCAAACACATTCTACCATCCCCCGGCTCAACTTTTTTATTCTAAAGAGAGTTTTGGATGTCATAATGATTAGCTTACTTAAAAAAATAATCTTTTGTCTTCTTCTGCTATTTTGGTGCCCAATCAGTGGTTTGACAAGCACAAATAGTCTCTGAGGGTTAACTATGAGTATTGCAAATGTTCATTTACTTGTAGCACAGCTAAACCATTGTGTCTTTCATTTAAGAAGCTGGCTGTGGTTTGCATCCTGGCCCAGATGAGTCAGCACTGCTGCTCAGGGACATGCAGGCCTTCATTCGGCTTTTTCCCCACTCAGCTGAATTTGTCTCCTTCCATTTCTCCATCTGGCTTTCTTCACACACCTCCCTCCTCTTGCCACACAGCTGCTAGTCTTACCTCAGCACAAAGTCTGCAGGCTCTGTTGCACCAGCATTACAAATGTCCTGCACCCTTTGGGGGGTTGTGGCCCACTTCCAATAGCAGTGCCACCGCAAGTGGGCAGAGAATACTGACTTTCTCCCTGCCATACTCCCTCCACCCCCAAAGTGTCCTGTCAGCACAGGGGCCACAGCCACATCCGTAGAGGCAGACATCTCATCCCCCTATTAAATTTGCTGTTTTGGTTACAATTTGTGAGAATTGTTTGAGTTGGTATGCCTCCAGATGATGTTGACACCACAACTCTGTGACCACGCCTTCAGTCATCTCAATTCTCATCTCAGAAACACTTGTCTCAGAATAAAGCATTTGTTTGCTTTTTTGTTCAGAATAAAAAAGCAAGTTTTCTTCATGATACCATTTTGTGGTGCCTCCACCTTAAGACTCCCTGAAATTTCACATTCACTCTTTTATGTTTTGGACGCATTGATAATAATAGCCGTTACCTTAATATGGAAAAAAAATAAAGCTAAAATTTTTTCTTCTCTTATAGCTGATTTGTGAAGCTAATCCAAAGAAAAAGGCACAAAATATTTATAAGGTATGAAGGAGATGTTCTGAATGAGTTGGAAAGCTTTGTTTAAGATCCTCTGCAAAGGAGCATAGAACAAGATTCAGAATGAGTCTGTATTTTAGTGATAACAGAATTCCGAAGCCTAAGATTTTATCAAGTGCCTTTTATTCCTGTACGTAGAGGATTGGCTTCTTCACCTGAGGGGACCACACCACGGCTCTCTGAGTCTTGTAGGGGACGTCCTCCCAGTTACTCACTCCCTGTCGAGGCCTTCAACAGTGGTAGCTGGGCATGTGTGTGGGTAGGAAAGCCAGCGCCTACCTGAGAACCAGTCACAGCCAGAGCTAACAGGTTCCTTCACAGAACACAGAGTCCTTCCTGCCTTTGGCTTGGGCCTTCACTCTATGGTGTATGTGATGCACCTGACCTTATTCTTCTTTCTCCTGCTTCCCTTTTGCCTGATTTTATTTTGATAGGAGAGTGCTCCATATATTGGACAATGCTCAGGAAGTGGACCCGTGTAACCTTGCACGTTGGTTTTCTCCTCTGATTTTTCCTTGAAATTCCCTCTGAAGTTAAAGCAGTCCTCTACCAACAGACTATTTGTGTCTCCACATGTGTGTGCATGCATACATACAGCACACCTACACTGGGACTGTCACTGTGTTGGCATGTGCTGTGTTGCTTGCACTCTGGCAGGGACTCCAGGTATGGGTTGCCTAGAGTTCAGAGATACCGAGAAGCAGAAAGAGCTCTGGGCCAGAAGGAGCTCTGAGCTCTTGCCCTAACTCCTTAACTGACCTTTTCTGACCTACACAGACCTGGTACAGTGCTTCTCTCCATAGGTTAGGGAGTCACTTTTAAATTATATGGAATGCTAAGATGACTTTGGAGCAAGTATGCACTCAAGTAGGCAATAACTGAGTGACCTTTTGTTTAGTTGGGGGATTCATGCAGGAGAGATTACCAGGCACAAATAAAGTCATTGTCCCCAGGGCACACATTTAGACTTAAGTTTCTGAATGTCACCTTTCTACTGTGGGTAGAAGGAAGAGGGAGGGGCCTGTGGGGTTGGCACTGCCCGCTTCATGTCCATGGGCATTCTTGGAGGTGCCCTCATCCCATTACCTGCTCTATGTAACCTTTCTCTCCTCGGCAGAAGGGAGTAAGTTTCCCTCTGGGATAACCATGAGGCTCACATAAACAAGGGTTCCCACACATTAAGGGATATCACCAGCTGCCAGCAAATGACAGCCAGAAAAAGAAGGGAAGGGAAAGGAAATGGGTTGAGCTACGTGGAGCTTAGTCTCAGGCTTCCGAGTCAGTGAATGCTGTTTTCCCCAGCGGTCGGCTGTCAAGCCCACGGTCCAGCCTTGATGAGTGCCTGTCCATTTTGTTTCAGAGTAAGAACAACCGTCCACTCCGCACAAGCCAGCTCTATGCACAGGATGAGAATGCTACACATACCCAGCTATACACAAACCACTTTGACCTGATGAAGGTGACTGCTGGCAAGCGGAGCCCTCCCATCAAACCTCTGTGCGTCCAGGCTCTTCTCCCTGGGGTTGTGGCTATGGGAAATAAGAGGCTGGTGGTGAGCGCTCTACCTTCGTTATGTACTCCCTTGGCTTATAATTCCTTTCTCCTTTTCTGTGCCGTAGGCTTGGCATGAATCCTTTTCAGAAGAACCCCAAGCATGCCTCAGTGTTGGCAGAAAGGTAATGGTGAAATATGTCTTCGTGTCCAGTGAAATTCAGTAAGTTTAGTGAACTTCCATACCAATGGCAAGTGTATCGCAGGCCCAGCCAGGAATGCTGTAGCATCTGGGCCTGGGAGATTGGAGCCCCCTGCTATCAGGCAGGCTAGGCCAGGTGGCCCTACCGAACATAGACACATGGAAAGTGTGCCTTGTTTCTATCGGGACCTGGTTTATTTTTCTTGCTCACACTCTGGTGACCCACATTCACAGACACGATGGGTATGTTCTAGGACTGTGGAAGCAACTTCCAGGGAATTTCTTTCTCTCATCCTGCCTCTCTTCAGGCATAGGTTTTGTTGGCTACCTTAATATGCTAAGTTCAGAGATGACTGTACTTGTGTAGAGATTTAATGGCAGAAGAAATAAAAGATGAATTAGTAAGTGGATAGTGAAATGGGGAGGGGAAGTGAAACAGAGCAAGCTGAGTTGTGGAATCTGAGCACTAAGCATGTGGTTTGAGGGTGTTGTAAACAAATGCTGGCTTAGGCACCATCACTGCCATGTTCGTGTTGGTCACCCCCTGTCTAGTCCCTGATTTCCTTCTGGACTCTGTAGATCTCCTTCCCACATAGCTGTAAGAGTGGTCATTGTCAAGGTGAATTGGCTCATGGTACATCTGCTGAGAGCCTGTAGTGGCTTCTTCCAGCCTGCCTCCTGTACAGCCAGCCCTGGCTTTTGGCTTCATGGGGCCCTGCGCGTGCGCGCGCGCGCACACACACACACACACACACACACACACACACACACGGCAGTCTAGGTTTAGGGTAAAGGTCTACAGGTACTCTGGGGAGTCATTCGGACACTTCTTTGGGAAAGTAGGGTGTGAACTAAATGGGAAACCCTCTTTGTGGGCACAGGCAAACCATTGCTGCAGGGAACCAGGAGCAAGAGGTGGGCTTGGCAGGAGTCCTACACAGTTGGACTCTTACCTGTCATGTAGCAGGTGAAAAGCATGGAGTACATGTAAGAGAAGTCTATTTTTATGTCTGTCTGAAGCACTTGTCCAGGCAGTTGTGGGGAAGCTAGAAACAGACTCTGTGTTCATTGTTGATTGTTAAGAATTCCTGGGAGCATTTGGAGCTTATTAATGTGGGGCAATGCCTGCTAGTCGATGCTTAGAACGGCAGGTAGTATTGCATATTATATTTGCTATGGGTGTATATGTGTGCCAATCCTGGGGCTTGAACTCAGGGCCTGGGTACTGTCCCTGAGCCTTCTTGTGTTCAAGGCTAGCACTGCACTCTACCACTTGAGCCACAGCTACACTTCCAGCTTTTTGATGGCTGATTGGACATAAGAGTCTCACAGACTTTCTTGCCCTGGCTGTCATCAAACCACAATCCTCAGATCTCAGCCAAGTACTCATCTGAGTAGCTAGGATTATAGACATGAGCCACCAATGGTCAGTTGTTAGGGTTTTTCCTAAGTAAAAATCTTACACTTTTTCACTTGAAGGAGACACTTTGCAACTTCTCTTTGACACATACTAATTACCAGCATCATGACAGTTGTACTTGGAGGCCATTATTAAGTAAAATAAAAGTTTCTTGAACATAAGCCTGCACTACAGCAACAGTCAACCTGGTAACTGATACTAGGCAGACACTGGACGAAGAGGCAGTCCATGTCCTGGGTGTGGGGCAGGGGTGGGGCAGTCACGGTCTTTAATATTACTAAGAACAGGGGCTGGGAAGGTGGCTCAGTGGTAGAGCGCTTGCCTTGCATGCCAGAGGCCCTGGGTTCCATTCCTCAGCACCACATAAGCAAAAAGAAAAAAGCCGGAAGTGGCGCCGTGGCTCAAGTGGTAGAGCGCTAGCCTTGAGCTGAAGAGCTGAGGTACAGCGCCCAGGCCCAGAGTTCAGGCCCCACTACCAGACCCCCCAAAAAAAAATACTACTAAGAACAGTGTGTAGTGTAAAAGGTGTAAATTGCCAGGCACCAGTGGCTCATGTCTGTAATCCTAGCTACTCAGGGGCTGAGCTGAGGATTGTAGTTTGAAGCTAGCCGAGGCAGGAAAGACCATGAGGCTCTTACCTCCAATAAATTACCAAAAAAGCTCAAGTGGTAGAGTGCTAGCTGGCCATGAGCAAAAGAAGCTCAGGGACAGTGCCCAAGCCTTAGGACTGGCAAAGAAAACAACAAAACAAAAAGGAATAAATGGTTTATTTCTGGAATTTTCCATGTCATACTTGGGCACAGGTAGCTGAAACTACAGGTGAGGGGACTACTGAATTTTTAAGTTTTACATTTATCTTTCAGTGGAATCAACTATGACAAGCCGCTGCCGCCCATTCAGGTTGCATCTCTCCGTGCAGAGCGAATTGCAAAAGAGAAAAAGGTATGTGGCAGTGGGCTGTGCTGTGCTCCCCGGCGTGTGTTGCAGCCACACGGCTTGCCCAGGGCTGGTCCCCCTCTCTGACGGTACCCCTTCTCGCCTGACCTTTCCAGGCTTTGGCAGACCAGCAGAAGGTACAGCAGCCAGCTGTCTCACAGCCACCCCCACAGCCCCAGCAGCCGCCTCCACCGCCTCCACAGCAGCCGCCTCCACCGCTGCCCCAGCCACAGGCAGCCGTCAGCCAGCCGCCAGCAGGGCCACCTACCGTCCAGACCCAGGCCCAGACCCAGGCCCAGGCCCAGCCACAGCCTGTACAGGCCCCACCAAAGGGGCAACCCACAATCACAACTGTGGGCAGTGCTGCAGTGCTGGTGAGGACCCCTGCTCCTTGATACGTTCTGCAGATCTCTCTCTGAGGAGACAGGATAGAGGCGCCACCCTGCCTCAGAGAAAGCAGGTGCTCACCTGGCTCTGACACCCTCTTCCAAGGCTGGTAGCCAGAGAGCCTTGCTGAGTTGGGAGGGTTAGGCTGCTCTTGCAGTATAGGGATTGGGGCATGGAAGAGCCCGGATCCCGTAGGACGTGATGGAGACGAGCTTGCCCCTCCCGCCGCTCTGGATGCCTACTGTGCCCTCGCCTCTTTGGGGGCGCCCTCGCCTCTTTGGGGGCGCCCTCGCCTCTTTGGGGGCGTGCTGCTCCTTCCCTCAGAGCTGCATATGCGTGCTGACCACATGTCCAAGCCATGAAGTACACAAAAAGGGCAGAGTTATACAGCCCACCACTATTGACACCTACACCTCAGTGTGTTCTTTTACTATGTCTTGGTATGTTCCTTTTCTGTGTGTCACATGTGATGAGCTTATCACACAGACATAGAAATCCCATGTGTAGTGTTGCGCTTTGAGAGAACAGATTCAGTGCCAAATGGGGAAACAGTTTGAGCTTGGCCAGGTGTGAATGTATTTTTTTTTTTATGTAGAGTTATTCTCTACATTATTTTTTTTCTTAAATTATATTTGACCATGGATGGGATTTTAGAAAACAACAATGTTGTAGTATATATTAGTCGTACAAGGTAGGTTCATAGTGATGTATAGTTTATTCCCTGATCAGACTCGCCCCTCCGTCAGTACCTCCCCACTTCCAAAGCAGTTTCAAGAGGTTTCATTGTCCTGCTTTCATAGAAGCAAAGACTACAACCATACTCACTTTCATTTACCCTCTCTCCCCTCCTATTGACTCTGCCCCTCCTCCAAGAAGAACCTGTGTTCCTTTCTTGTTCTTTCTTTCAGAGTATATTAGTCGTACCAAGGGTTCACCATGGCATTTCAGAGGGGCATATAAACAGAATAACTTTCTATTTTCTCAATCCACTCATCTGTTGTCCTAGTGATTAGTAGCTTTCACTGAGATTCCATATGCCATCTTCAAAATTCGCTCTCCCCTTCCCCTCTTCCTCCTAAAGAATCTGATTGTTACGGTCATGTTCTCGTTTATGTGTGTGTCCTTGTCCATGTATATGTATGTCCTTTAAGTCTAGCTAGTGCAAATAAGCAAAATCACGAAACACTGACTTTTCCAGCTTACCTTATCTTGGTTAACAGGATGGTCTCCATTTATCATTTTCATGGAAATGACTTGACCCTATTTTTTTTGATGGCTATGTAATTTTTTTTTTTTTTTGTCAGTCGTGGGGCTTGAACTCTGGGTCTGGGCACTGTCCCTGAGCTCTTCAGCTCCAGGCAAGTGCTCTACCACTTGAGCCATAGCGCCACTTCTGGTTTTCTAGTGGTTTATTGGAGATAAGAGTCTCACAGACTTTCTGCCCAGGCTGGCTTTGAACCATGATCCTCAGGTCTCAGCCTCCTGAGTAACTAGGATGACAGGCGTGAGCCACCAGCTCCCGGCTTGTGTAATATTTTTTAATGTACTTGGTCAACATTCTTTGTTCATTCAAATGACACATTTGCTAAAGATTGTCTGTGTGCAAGGACCACTGCAGTGAGCAAGATAGACAAACTTCCTGCTTGCTGGAGTTTACATTTCATTTAAGAGCAATGGAGAGTAGACCAAGATCATTTTAAGTGCTGACAGAAAGGGCTCAAATTGGATGGTGCCTTGTTGGTTAGGAAGAGCCTTCCAGCAAATGCCTTTGATAGTTGAGACCTGAGCCATAGGAAGTCAGTCATGAGAATAATGGAAACAGGCACAGAGCCCTGTATGGCTAGGCCAGATGACAAAAGACAGCATGCCTGGGTAGTGGGAGAAGGAGGCAGGCCGGAAGAGGCCCTGGGTAGTTGTGTAGTTGCTCAGGAGTTTGGCTCTGACTCTTGATGAAATTGAACCCTTTGGAGGGCTTGTGCCAGGAAAAGTTAGGCCTGAAATTCACTTGTGTTTTCTTTTTTAAATAGGCAGGAACCATTAAAACATCAGTTACTGGGACAAGCATACCAACAGGTGAGAAGAGTACAGTATTCAAATGGGAACTGGATTTTGGGGGGTCCTCTTGTTTCACAAGCATCTTCTCTGCAGGCACCGTGAGTGGAAATGTGATTGTCAACACCATAGCAGGTGTGCCAGCTGCTGCCTTCCAGTCCATTAACAAGCGTCTTGCTTCACCTGTGGCCCCAGGAGCCTTGGCTGTGAGTTGCCCCTGTGTGTGGGAGCCCCACTTTCTTTGTAATTTGAGGTGATGCCTTGCTTTTTGAGTATTCCATTGGTGAGGAAGTCTGGTGCTGTTTAGTTTTGTAGAATAAGTAGCTGATAACACAGCTGTTTCAGCTCGCTCTGTTAGTTCCTATCCTATACAGAGGAATGGTGAGTTTCAGATGTTACTGGTCCTCTACAGAATGCATGTCAGAGATGAGGTAGGGTAGATAGGAGGACACATCACCAGTCCTGTTGACACAGTACCTTTCATAGTTGCATCCCTGGCTCTGTGTGCAGAAGCAAAAATTAGGTTGACTTGGTAGGGGCACAGTGCTGGGGGAAGGAACACAGTGCCTTTGAGAATTTGACCTGGTTTCACACAGATTCTGGAATATGTAGAGGCCAGCAAGGCTGAGCACTTGTTCAGAAGCCCTTTTCCATTGTCAGACCACCAGCTTTCATTGACAGTACACTGCAAAAACAAAACAGAACTGAAGTGGTGGTAGGAAGACCCCAAGGTAGCATGTGACCTGACTGAAGAGAAGCAGCTCTGGCCAGTGGCAATGCTCTGGAACCAGTACCATGTCCAGATAGTGTAGGGTTGAGGTAGTGCCTTTTCTGTTTGAAGATGAGAGACACAAGGATGAACAGTGAGCTAGGTGGAGTCAGGAGTGGAGATACCTGCCTTTATGTAGTCAGTTTCCTCAACATGCCTAGGAATTCAGTGGGGAGAGGACAGTCTACATCAAATGGTGTGGGTTGGAGAATCATAAGCAGAACAATGAGCCTTGACTCATAATTGATACCATGTATAAGAAACCATTATCATAGATTCTAGGCTTTAATGTAAGACCAAAAACTTTACAGACTCTAAAACATTTCTGGGAGAAAAATCTTGGCTATATTTACCTAGGCAAACATTTCTTAGGATATCTAAGGCTGGATGGTGCCTTGTTGGTTAGGAAGAGCCTTTCAGCAAATGCCTTTGATACTTGAGTTGAGACCTGAGCCACAGGACGTCAGTCATGAGAATAATGGAAACAGGCACAGAGCCCTTGTGTGGCCAGGCCAGATGACAATAGACAGCATGCATGGGCAGTGGAAGAAGGAGGAGACCCTGGGTAGAAATTAATTGGAGATAAATCTCACAGACTTTTCCTGCCCCAGTTGGCTTTGAACCACAATCCTCAGGTCTCAGCCTCCCGAATAGCTAGGATTATAGGCATGAGCCATCTGTGCTCAGCTTGACAAAAGCCTTTGATTGATACTTATTGAGGGACTCCTGTGTCGTAGTACTATACACATTGAGGTTAGATTGCAGTTTGAAAATCAGGCTAAGGACCATGGATTTCACCCACTTGGCAGTGGGGAGCCCTTGGCTGTTGGAGAAGAGGTTTGTCTTAGGAAAGATGGCAGTGTATGTGGATTGATGAGAGCAGAAAATGGTAGGTAAAAAACTATCAGTAGTCCAGAAAGGAACTTTGTTTCTGATAATAAGTGAAATTAAGTATTTTTTATACAACTCAATTTTTCATTTGACAAAAATACTAGAAAAAAATTGGAATTGTTACGATCTTCAAGGGGCTGACAAATGAATCAATAATGATCAGACCATAATTGAAAGGAAAGAAGAATGAATGAAGCCATGTTTGCCTGAAGTGTAGATTTCAGCATTGAGGACAGAGGACTCAAATCCACCCAGGGCTTGGCTAGGTGAGCCTGACTCTCCTACACCTTGCCCAAGGTGGAGTCTTAAGAGGGCGCTGCTGACATACATGCCCAGGATCCCTTAGAGTGGGCCAGAAGCGAAATCAACCTTTGGCTTAAAGAACAGCAGCAGCCATGTGTGGTTGTATGCACACCAAGACTCCTAGCACTTGGGAGGCAGAGGCCAGCTTGGGCTACATATTGACACCCTGTTGTGTGCCCCTTCCCCCATACCTCTGTGTTGAGCCGAAAACAGTAGTGTGAAGGCTGCATTCGGCAGCCTTAAGAGTATGTGTGCTCCCCCTCTGGCCTTGCCCGCTAAGTCAAGTGTAGCCAGCTGGGACCAGCAGTGTTTCTAGCCAGCTAAGTGGAAACAAATACTGATTCCCTCTAGAGTACTAGCTAGCATCCATCTTTGACTTTTTGAGAATATCCACAAACAGTTTTCAAGAATGAACTACATGCAATAAAAAAATAACTCAAGTTCAGAATAAGAGAAAGGCCCTGGAGTGAGAACCAGCAGAGACAGCACAGTAGAAGGCATGGCTTGTAAGAGCCACCAATTATGATTTCTGTTTCAATGAAAGTAAACTATTTCAAGGGACCATAGAGCTGGATGCAGTGGATCTGAAGGTCTCACTTTGAAACCAGCCCAAGCAGACAAGTGAGAGAGTTTTTATCTCCAATTAACCAGCAAAAAGCCAGAGCTGGAAGTGTGGCATAATGCTGGAATACCAGTTGTGAGTGAAAAAGCCAAGCAACAACATGAGGCTCTGAAAACAATGGAAATGAGGGAACATTTAGAAATAAGGGTGACACTTATGAGTGGACTTACTCAGAAAGAATTGATAAACTGGAAGAGAAGTCTTCCAGTGCATCATAGGGACAAGATGGATGTAAAGAGAAAATTTAGGAACAATAGAAAAGAGAGAGGAGGGCTGGGAAGTTGGCTCAGTGGTAGAGCTCTTGCCTTGCATGCATGAGGCCTTGGATTCGATTCCTCAGCACCACATAAGCAAAAAGAAAAAAGCTGGAAGTGGCACTGTGGCTCAAGTGGTAGAGCATTAGCCTTGAGCTGAAGAGCTGAGGGACAGCATCCAGGCCCAGAGTTCAGGCCCATGACCGGACCACCCCCCCCCCAAAAAAAAAGAGGATCTAAAATCGTTAATTAGATCCTGTTTCTGTTGTGCAGAGATAGTATTATAAAGCTGGGCGCTGGTGGCTCACACCTGTAATCCTAGCAACTCAGGAGGCTGAGATCTGAGGATCAAGGTTCAAAGCCAGCCTGGGCAGGAAAGTCTGTGAGACTCTTATCTCCAATAAACCACTAGAAAACTGGAAGTGGCGCTGTAGCTCAAGTGGTAGAGTGGTCGCCTTGAGTTGATGAGTGCAGGGACAGCGCCCAGGCCCAGAGTTCAAGCCCCACAACGGACCAAAAAAACAACAACAAAAACTGGCTAATGACACTGATCCTTACATATGCAAAGTTCACCTGATATCCTCATCACTGTTGATAGAAAGAATGGATACTTACATAGTCAGAGACAAAAAGATTCTAAAAATAGCAGCAGAAGAAGGTTAACCTCAGAGGCAACAGCTTACTGCCTCATATGAAAAGTAATGAAGCCCAGGGCCAGTGACTCTTTATCATAATGAAAGAAGATAACTGCTCACTTTGGTGTTCTTTGTCTTTTGAAAATATTTTATAAAGAACAAGCGTAAAATAGTACAAAATAGCATTTTGAACTTAAATTTCCAAGAGCGATGGGGATGTAGTTTAGTGGTAGAGTGCTTGCCTAGCTGCATGAAGCCCTGGGTTCAATTTCCCAGCACTACATAAACAAAAAGCCAGAAATGGCACTGTGGTTTAAGTGGTTGAGTGCTAGCCTTGAGCAGAAGAAGCTCAGGGACAGTGCCCAGGCCCTAAGTTCAAGCCTCAGAACTGACCAAAAAAAGAAAATCTAGAAATGTAGAAGATTCAAAAAAACCAAGTAGTCCAGGAAGGTGAATTGAACATTGGGGTTTGTTATGTGGTGGAGAAGGGTAGGGTAGTAGGGCATAATAGGCAGCCAGGCTGAGCATGGCCTCCTTGCCTGGCCACAAGGTGGAATCTGGGAGGCAATGAGTAGTGTGCTGAATTAAGCAAGGTGAAGGTAAGAAACACAAACACAAGACTCGTAACTGCTAGCCATACCTCTGCCCATCTTAGGGATGATGGTGAACATCAGGAAGATGTGTGGAGGTACAGAAATAGTCAGGAGCCGATCGTGTTCCTGGGTACCAGGTAGTCTGTGAGCAAAGGGAAAGGGATACATGGGCAGGAACTTTGACCCCTGAAATTACTTGTTTCTATGGTTAAAATGGTTCACTGGGAGAGAGCATTGTTCTGTAGCTCAAGGCACTTGCTTTTGAATTTCCGTGGAACACGTACTGTCAACACTTTGTGTGTGAAGAGACAGCTCCAGGATGTATATTCTGGAACCTGGAACATTTTTGTCTCCTGCTCTGAGTGGAAAGCTTTGGAGTGCCATGTGAAGTAGCTTGATAAATGTCTGTGATTGCCTTTCCTAGGCGTCTGGAGCCTCGACTCCTGCCCCCGTTGTCCATGCCCAGCAACGAGCAGTTGGCTCCCCTGCTACTGCAGCCACTGACCTGGTGCCCATGGCAACCACTCAAGGTGTTCGAGCAGTCACTTCTGTGACTGCCTCAGCTGTGGTCACTACGAACCTGACTCCCGTGCAGACTCCAGCTCGGTCTTTAGTGACCCAGGTGTCCCAAGGTAAGAGGACTGGAGATTTGCTTATGTTGGTATCCACTGTTGGAGCTTATTAAAGCTGTATCCTGCATGTGTTGTTCTAGAAGAAATAAGGATAGGAGGCTGGGAAGGTGGCTCAGTGGTAGAGTGCTGGCCTTGGCATGCATGAGGCCTTGGGTTCGCTTCCTCGGCACCACATAAACAGAAAAAGCCGGAAGTGGCGCTGTGGCTCAAGTGGTAGAGCACTAGCCTTGAGCTGAAGAGGTAAGGGACAGCGCCCAGACCCAGAGTTCAAGCTTCAGGACCAACAAAAAATAAATAAGTAAAAAGAAATGAGGATGGGTAAGTCTAACTAACACACCTTTCACAGCCACAGGGGTTCAGCTTCCTGGAAAAACCATCACCCCTGCCCACTTCCAGCTCCTCAGGCAGCAGCAGCAGCAGCAGCAGCAGCAGCAGCAGCAACAGCAGCAGCAGCAGCAACAGCAGCAGCAGCAACAACAACAGCAGACCTCCCAAGTACAGGTTCCACAGATCCAGGGCCAGGCTCAGTCCCCTGCACAGATCAAAGCCGTGGGCAAGCTAGCACCGGTGAGTGCTTCCCTGAGTATGACAGACACAAACTTGTGGCCTATCTGTAGCAGATTGCATAGTGCAATTGCATAGTGTAATTCAGAGTGTATTTGCAAAATTCTAGCATTGCTTTTAGGTAGGAAATATGTCTTATTGTGTCTAATGCAACTTACTGGATCAAAGTCAATCCAGACAAGACTTGAATATTTACAAAAAATGCTTTCAGACTTGTTCATAGCACTTTAGAGACCTTATTCCTTTCTATAGTGCTCAGGAATTCCTGCACCCAGTGGTGAAAAATTGTCTAGTAAGTGGTCTTGACCTCTGTCCCATGTCAGAGTCTTCTGACCTGACTGGATCTGGGCAGTGACAAACCTCAAGAACCATTTTTCACCATACAGCTACTGGGAATCCTGCTTGCCTGTTTGTGCACCAGGGTCCTTCATCCTTCACCCTACTCTCTCTCCATTCATTTAAAAGTCATTTTCATTTCTCATATCCAAAAAGATAAGATAATCATGAACAACTCACTATAAATTTTCTTCTGAAAAAGCCATTTAAGCTGAGGATATAGCTCAGCAGTAGGGCACTTGCCTGGCATGTGCAAGGCCCTGGATTTGATGCCTAGCACCAGAAGATGACAGAAACAAAACAAATCAAAAGCCATTTATTTAAAAAAAATATTTTGAACTAAAGACATGATATTTATTATAAGCAATTGTTTATTTAATAAGTTTGACAGCTCCATATTTCAATTGATTTGTTGGCTGTGAACTTGCTGATCTGTCAGAATTGGCTAGTTTCCTTGGTGAAATGCGGATTTCTAGTAAATGGTCACTTTGCCATAAGGTGATTGCATTCTGTATATCAGCAAGTATGCACCTCTGTACTTCCTGGAGGCAGAGGAGCAACTTAGCATTAGGATGTGTACTGTCATGTGGCAGAAATTGTACCTTATTTGGGTTATAGGAACACATCATCAAGATGCAGAAGCAAAAGATGCAGCTGCCACCGCAGCCTCCACCACCACAGGCCCAGCCTGGACCTCAGCCACCAGCGCAGGTTCAAGTGCAGCCCCCGCAGCCCCCACAGCAGCAGAGCCCCCAGCTCACCACGGTCACGGCCCCACGACCTGGGGCTTTGCTTACGGGCACCACAGTAGCCAATCTTCAGGTGGCTCGGCTTGTAAGTTCTGGTAGATATGTTTGTTTTCCAAAAGCAGCAGCACTTCTCCATTTTAGTTGGACACTTACTTACTCCTGCACATATACATGTCCTGGTAGACTTAGAAGTGAAGCGTGACAGGTGATCTTTCCCCAGGGACCTTTGTCTCCATTTTTCATCTTCAAAATGTAATTTTGGTTGTAGTATGTATGGTAGATAACCAGTGGTCCTGGTGTCATCTTGGAAGGAAGAGAGGGAGGCCAGGGAGCAAGGTACATGCAAGACCTGATTGGATTAACTAGTGAGGTGCAGAGAGGTTGGGGAGTAAAAGTAAGACCATGGCAGCCAGGCTGACGAACCATGGCTATTATGTGAACCCTGTCATTTGGCATTGGTCACTGGCAGGCAAAGAAGCCTGGCCAGCCTCATGATTCATTATTTTCTGCAGTATGTGGGCCTTCCCCCCCTCCCCCCAGTATCACTGCCACTTTGCAACTTTGTTATCAATCTATATACAATTTTCATGGCTTGATGTATTGTTGAGAAATGTTGAAAATGATATATCTGAGTTTTTTTACTTTTCTTATTTCTATTGCTTAGACTCGGGTTCCCACATCCCAGCTGCAGGCGCCAGGGCAGATGCAAGCGCAGGCCCCTCCGCCAGCGCAGGTGGCCTTGGCGAAGCCTCCGGTAGTGTCTGTCCCAGCAGCCGTGGTGTCCTCGCCTGGCGTCACAACCCTGCCCATGAACGTCGCAGGCATCAGCGTGGCGATTGGGCAGCCTCAGAAAGCAGCAGGTGCTTATCCCCACCCTGAGTGCCCCGTGGGTCCTGACAGCCCCCTCCCCACAGCCTGGCGTGCCCCGTGGGTCCTGACAGCCCCCTCCCCACCCTGAGTGC